AAACTTCCAGTGTTGGAGCATTCACCGCTTCTGGAGGCAGGTTGTTCCACTGGTTAATTGTTCTAACTGTCAGGAAGTTTCTCCTTAGTTCCAGGTTGCTTCTCTCCTTGATTAGTTTCCATCCGTTGCTTCTTGTCCTGCCTTCAGGCGCTTTGGAGAATAGCTTGACTCCCTCTTCTTTGGGGCAGCCCCTGAGATATTGGAAGGCTGCTATCATGTCCCCCCTCGTCCTTCTCTTCATTAAACTAGACATACCCAATTCCTGCAACCGTTCTTCGTATGTTTTAATCTCCAGGCCTTTAATCACAGTGTCCTGGGGTCACGTGATCCCCTTTTGCGACCATCTGACAAGCAAAGTCAATGATGCAGCCGGATTCACTTAACAACCGTGTTACTAACTTAACGGCAGTGGTTCACTTAACAGGGACGGCAAAAAAAGGTCGCAAAAACAGGACCCAACTCAATCACTGTCTTGCTTAGCAGCAGAAATTTTGGGCTCAGTTGTGGTCATAAACTGAGGACTTCCCATCGAACTTTATGCACGGGAATCTTGATTGTTCACGCTGGACAGCTTCTGACCTCACCACCTGTTTTTGTTTTTTTTTGTTTGTTTGTTTTTGCGACAGAAATGAACTGTGACACGTGGAAAGAAGCTCCCGCTAGGTCTTCCAGCTGCTCTAGCAGCAACCACAGCGGAGACGGGAGCTGGGATCCCCCGAGCGACCTTTCCACCCCCTCCACCCCTTCGCCACCCCTGACCGCCGACATGACGACCAGCCTCCTGTCTTCCCTGCAGTCCGAACTGGAGGAAACAGAAGCCACACAGTTTCTCTTTGGGGAACCCGTCCCCAGGAAGAGGAAGGTGAGAAGGGATGCGAGGGTGGTGAGGAGCCTGTTGCCTGCTTATCCCGGAAATTTGGAGACGGTTAGCAACATCAAATTCCTGGGTGTGCAGTTAACAAGTAGGCTGGCTTGGTTGCTCAACAGCGAGACCCTGGTGAAGCGGGCACAGCAGCGTCTACATTTTCTGCGTCGCGTGAGAAAAGCGCATCTTCCTTCCCCTGTCCTTACCACTTTCTGCAGAGGGACGATCGAGAGCATCCCGTCACACAGCATCACAGTCTGGTTTAGAAGCATCCCTGCTTCAGACAGGAAGGCAGTGCAGAGAGTGGTGAGGACAGCAGAAAAGATCATTGGCAGTTCCCTCCCTCCCATCCAGGACATAGCACAGAAGCGTTGCTTGTGCAGGGTCCGTAAGATTATCCAGAACACGACACATCCTCTCCACAACCTGTTTTCCTTGTTACCTTCTGGGAGGAGGGGGCTCCGTGGCATCCGAAGCAGAACATCCAGATTCAGTCACAGTTTTGTTCCACACAGTATTAACCTTGTGAACTCTCAAGCTTCCTCTTTCCGTTATATATTCAAGATGGACAGTATTTAATATTTATTTGCTATGTATATGTAAGGGTGTAGGTCTATACAGATGTTGTATGTAGCATGTTTATAGGTGTGTATGTGTACACTTTTGAGAGCAGGCAACAGAATTTCATTTTTAACACGTGCCAGTGTGCCCACAGTAAAAAACGACAATAAAGGTTATCTATCTTACCTCTTGGTGCGATGCTACGTGAGAAAGGGGACAGGAGGAAAGGAGAGCGAGATAAGAGACAGCAGAGCCCTCAGCAGGATAATAGGCAGCAGGACTGGAGGCTTAGAAGGGACCCTCTCAAGTTTCTTTTGAAATATATTTTTTATTCTATTCAGAAGGTTAAAATAAAAACTTCCCCTCCCCTTTCCCAAAAAATTACAGAAACAAAACGGGTTTAGACAAAAATATTGGGGGGAAAAATGTGAATCAAAAGACAAAAAACTGAATACTGATAAAATTATCGCAACAATGATCACTTTTTCCCCTTGCGAATCGGGTCCCCCCAAAATTATAAACCTCTACGTCTATTTGCAACCAATTTGACCTGTGACGCATCTATCTATTTTTGGGTGTGCGTGTTTGTGTGATGGAGCTGAGCGTTTACTGGCTGGATGCCCTTCCCGACACCTACGTGGCGTTCACAACAGATATTCTTTACTTTGCGCCCTGGGAGAGAAATGTCTGCCACGACCTAGGATTGCACTCTCACACTAAACTTCCGAATGAGAGGCAAACGTCTTCACCATTAGGCCACCGTGCTACTCATCATGCATACACGCATACACATATACATATATACATACATACACAAAACTTCAAAGCCCTCTGTTAACCATCTGTTATTGTAATTAATTTGTAAAGTCTGCAACAGCTTCTTATCTGTCACCAATCAGAGAATAGAATAGAATAGGAATAGAATAGAGAATAGAATAGAATAGAAATAGAGAATAGAATAGAATAGAATAGAATAGAATAGAATAGAATAGAATAGAATAGAATAGAATAGAATAGAATTACAGAATAAAATAGAATAGGAATTACAGAATGGAATAGAATAGAATAGAATAGAATAGAATAGAATTACAGAATAAAATAGAATAGAATAGAATTACAGAATAAAATAGAATAGGAATTACAGAATAGAATAGAATTACAGAATAAAATAGAATAGGAATTACAGAATAGAATAGAATAGAATAGAATAGAATAGAATAGAATAGAATAGGAATTACAGAATAGAATAGAGTAGAATAGAATAGAATAGAATAGAATAGAATAGAATAGAATAGAATAGAAATAACTTTGTCACTTTGAATCTACACTAATCAGCATACATTAAAATGAGATTTCATTGCCTACAGCTCTCAAAAGGGTAACCATCTCCAATATACACTGCATAAACATGGCCAAAATAAATAAACAAATTGAATTATGCATATAATATGCACTTCTCTCTAGAGTCAGGTTCGCCAGGGGTTTGACCAAAGGCAGAATTTGAATCTCCAGGAGGGAATCCTTGGGAATCCTGAGGCGGGATTGAGTGGTCCACCTTGAGTGGCACCCCCAGACCTAAACTGCGTGTTTTCATGTTCCAGAACTCCACGAAGGTGATGTTCAAGTGCTTGTGGAAGAGCTGTGGGAAAGTTCTCAGCAGTTCCTCAGGGATGCAGAAGCACATCCGAGCCGTTCACTTGGGGTAGGTCAACCTCTTGGTCCTTTGGAGGACATGTCTGTGTGGTGGCGAGCCTGGCTAGGTTGACTTCACAGAAGGAGTTACCAACTGGCTTTCACACAACTAAGGCTTAACGTGGTTCGTTTTATTCTGCACTAAGCCATCTTGGGTGAAATCAGGTCATTGGACCTGTTGAGTTCTGCATGCTGCGTCTTGTGATGTCTACTGGACGACCTTCAGAATCTCACAAGTTTGAGTTGGGGGAAGAGGGAGACAGAGTCCGTTTTCCACCCTTGCTCCTAGCAGCAAGACTAAAGTAGATTGACTGGGATTCAGAATGAATAAAAAGCCCTCAGTAATCATAGCCAGGGACAACCCAATCTTCATGAATTCCCCTTTTGAAGCCATCTAGATAGGGTTCCATTGGAACCATCAGCCACCAGATGCTTCTTCCTGGGAGGACTTTATGCAAAGGGGGTGCCATGGTTGAGGAAACCCCATTATTTACAGCCACCTGCCTTGCTTCCTTTGAGGAGGACGCCTGAAGGAGAGCCCGCAAAGATTTTGAATGGTCGGGCAGGAAATTCACAAGTTATGCATGGGCCAGGGACCATAGGTTGAGATGATACTAGAGAAACATTGAAAACAGAACAGAACAGAACAGAACAGAATAGAATGAGACAGAATAGAACAGCACAGCACAGCACAGAACAGAACAGAATAGAATAGAATGAGACAGACAGACAGAATAGAATAGAATAGAATAGAATAGAATAGAATAGAATAGAATAGAACTGGAAGGGACCTGGGAGGTCTTCTAGTCCAGCCCCCTGCTCAATCAGGAGAACCTGTACCAGTGATGGCGAACCTTTTAGAGACCGAGTGCCCAAACTGCAACCCAAAACCCACTTATGCATCGTCGAGTGCCGGATGGGTGTGGCCCATTGGGTGGGTGTGGCCCATTGGGTGGGCGTGGCTGCGGTGGTAACGGCAGACTGGGTGGGACTAAAAAGTTCAATCAATCAATTCCAACTTTGCAAGATCTTTTTTTTTCCCATGAGAAGTTGAAATTGACTGATTGATTGAACCTTTTTTTTTTTATACACAGCGGCGGAGGCCTAAAGCGAAAAAGTTTTATAAAACCCAGCTGAAGGCCTGGGACTGGGGCAATGGCACGCGTGCCCACAGAGAGGTCTCTGAGTGCCGCCTCTGGCACCCGTGCCATAGGTTCGCCACCACTGACCTATACCATCTCAGACAAGTGACTGTCTAGTCTCTTCTTAAAAATCTGCAGTGATGGAGCACCCACGATTTCTGGAGGCAACTTCTGTTCCACTGGTTAATTGTCCTCACTGTTAGGAAGTTTCCCCTTAATTCCAGGTTGCTTCTATTTTTGATCAGTTTCCAACCATTGTTTCTTCTCCTGCCCTCTGGCGCTTTGGAGACTAGTTTGACCCCCTCTTCTTTGTGGCAGCCCCTCAGATACCAGAACGCTGCTATCATGTCTCCCCTATTTCTTCTTTTCTTTAGACTGGCCAAACCCAAGTCCTGCAGCCGTTCTTCGTATGTTTTATTCTCCAGGCCTTGGATCATCTTAGTTGCTCTTCTCTGAACTTTTTCCAAAGTCTCAACATCTTTTTTGTAGTATGGTGGCCAGAATTGGTTGCAGTATTACAGGTGTGGGTCCCACTAGGGTTTTATAAAGCGGTACTAATACTTCGCGTGAGATCTTGATTCTAAGAGATTGAGAATGACACTAGAAAGGAGAAGGTTGAGATGATACCAGAAAGGAGAAGATTGAGATGGTACCAGAAAGGAGAAGATTGAGATTACACTAGAAAGGAGGTTGAGATGATACCAGAAAGGAGAAAGTTGAGATGATACCAGAAAGAAGAAGATTGAGATGATATCTTAAGCACTTCTACCATGCTTAGGATGATCATCCCTTGAAGTACCAGCAGAAGCTTCTACTTTTGGTCCATTTCTTTCCTCATTTAAGATCCTCTTTGTTCCCTTTCCGCAGGAGGAAGGCTGACTTGGATCAGAGTGATGGAGAGGAAGATTTCTACTACACCGAGTTGGACGTCAACGTGGACTCCTTGTCCGACGGTCTCTCCAGCCTGACCCCCGTCTCCCCAACCTCCCCGGTGCCCCCTCCCTTTCCAGTCCCGGAAGAGGTCCAGAAAACTCCGCCTATTCCACTCAACCCCAAGGTTTCCGTGGTGTCTCACCTGAGCCAGTCGGCACCCCTAAACCTCCTGAGCCAGTCGGCACCCACAGGCCTGGGGCACATCCAAGCCGATCATGCCTATCAGGTGCGTTTCCATAGCCATCCAGAGGAGCTGGCCAAACCGATGTCAAACCAGCGAATTTTGCCCTGTTTTACGACCTTTCCAGACACACTGGTTAAGTGAATCACTACAGTTGTTAAATCCCCGAATATAAGACCCAACCAGAAAATAAGCCCTTAGCATGATTTTTCAGGGCGCTCGTAATATAAGCCCCACCCCCAAAATAAGCCCCAGTTAAGATCATCAACTAGAGCAGGGGTAGGCAACCTTGGCTCTTTTATGACTTGTGGACTTCAACTCCCAGAATTCCTGAGGCAGCCATGCTGAGGGGAAAGGGAGAGGTTTCCAAGCTGAGCCAGGCTGGCTCAGGAATTCTGGGAGTTGAAGTCCACGAGTCTTAGAGTTGCTAAGGTTGGAGACCCCTACAGTATAGGTCAGGGGTAGGCAACCTTGGCTCTTTTATGACTCGTGGACTTCAACTCCCAGAATTCCTGAGCCAGCCACGCTGAGGAAAAAGAGGTTTCCAAGCTGAGCCATGCTGGCTCAGGAATTCTGGGAGTTGAAGTCCACGAGTCATAAAAGAGCCAAGGTTGCCTACCCCTGGACTAGAGCATTGATTTAATGACCACCACAAAAAAAAAGTCAAATCAGGCTGGTCATGTGATGACCTTGACTGCCCGGACTTACAAGCGTAATTTGGTCTCGATTATGGTTGTAAGTCAAGGACTATCTTCACACCTCATATTTACCCAGCCGTAAACCAGATTAACCAAATGGCTGTCTTCCTGTAACACGGGGGTCTTCAAAGTTGGCCCTTTTATGACTCGTGAACTTCAACTCCCAGAATTCCTAAGCCAGCCACGCTGAGGGGAAAGGGAGAGGTTTCCAAGCTGAGCCATGCTGGCTCAGGAATTCTGGGAGTTGAAGTCCACGAGTCATAAAAGAGCCAAGGTTGCCTACCCCTGACCTATGGGTTTCATTGTATGAAGAGCTTTGGACACTGGCAGCCACACCTGGGACAGGTAGAGCTCTGGCCTAGAATTGGCTACTCTTAATCAGAATAAAGCTGGAAGGGACCTTGGAGGTCTTCTAGTCCAACCCGTTGCTCAAGCAGGAGACACTATACCAGGAGTAGGCAAACTTATAGGAGCTCAGGGCAGCTTACTTCTGGGATCCCCCTTCCTTTTATTCTCACTGCAATTACCCTATGACGGGGTAGGCGACCTTGGTTCTTTTATGACTCGTGGACTTCAACTCCCAGAATTCCTGAGCCAGCCATGCTGAGGGGAAAGGGAGAGGTTTCCAAGCTGAGCCATGCTGGCTCAGGAATTCTGGGAGTTGAAGTCCACCAGTCATAAAAGAGCCAAGGTTGCCTACCCGTGAACTAGACGGACTTTCCCCGAATAGAAGCCCTAACCTGAAAATAAAGCCCTAGTGCGTCTTTTGGAACAATAATTAACATAAGACCCGGTCCTATTTTCGGGGAAACATGGCAGTAACACAGCTATTAAGTGAATCTGGCTTTCCTATTGACTTTGTTTGTCGGAAGGTCAGGATCACATGACCCCGACATAAATACATGACGGTTGCCAAGCTTCCGAATTTTGACCCCGTGACCGTGGGGGATGCAGCGACGGTCATAAGTGTGGGACACAGTCATAAGTCACTTTTTTCAGTCCCGTCCTAACTCCGAAGGGTCACTAAACAAGCCTAAGTTGAGGACTACCTGTACTTGGTTGTTTTCTGCCTCTAATACAGACATGTCAAACACAAGGCCCGGGGGCCGGATGCGGCCCGCGAAGTGGTTTCATGTGGCCCGTGAAGCCATCCTGGAAACAGTGAGGGAACGGCCCCTGCTGCCTTGGCCCTGGACCAGGCCGGCCGGGAGCCAATGTACAATTTTGTGGTGGCCATCTATGCTGAAACGCATTCAGTCTGAGCTCCACAAGGCCGTCTGGAAACAGCGAGGAACCGGCCCCTGCTGCGTCGCCCCCGCCCCCTGGGTGCATGCTGGGGAGGTGTCCCCCTTTGTGAGGAATGAAGAAATGGACCATGCCTTGGCGCTTGCCCCGGTCCCACCCCCTTCTGCCAGAGATCCTCAGATCTATCCCACTCCTGCCCAGGCCCCCCACAGGCACCCTTGACGCGGACGATGTAGAGCTGGCCACGCCCACCAGTAGGCCACACCCACTCCATCCACACCCACCCAGTAGGCCACACACACACCCCCGAGGGCAACCGCAATGCTGATGTGGCCCTCAATGAAATTGAGTTTGACACCCCTGCTCTAATACAAGAATCTTCCCAGACTGTTCGCTTTCTCTTGGGAAGAGCCAGATGAAGTTCCATGGAGCTTGGTGGGAGGGGCATCAGGCCTAAGTCTCCTTGACTCCAGGCTAGTTCCCTGCTTGATCCCTCCTCCTTGCCTCGACTGGTAGTTTCACAACTTTCAGCTTTTCCACCGTTTCACTTTGAGATTTTATCTTTCTTGCTTTCAGGCGATGGGTCCGACTGGCGTGCTGGCAGACCTGAAGGCTCCCCCAGCAGGGATGGAAATCAGCATATCGTGGCAGCAGCCAGCCCTTTTCCCGCCATCTCTGCCCCCCGTCCTCTTCAAAAGCCCCTCGGTGAGTAGCGGAAAAGGCCAGCCCAGTTTTTTTTTTCCCCTGGGTCAGAAAGGAGCTGATTCCAGAGCAAAGGTTAGGACAGTGGTGGCGAACCTATGGCACGCGTGCCAGAGGCGGCACTCAGAGCCCTCTCTGTTGGCACACGTGCCACCGCCACCAGCAGCAGGTGCATCAGGCCACCACCGTTGCCCAGAGCAGGAGCCCCGCCCAGCACGAAGGAGGTGAAGCGGCCAACTAGCAAGCTCGAGTAGAGTTGGTAGAGCAGAGGTCACCAACCATTGGGAGGGGGAAGCATTTTACATGCATGCATGCATGCATGCATGCATGGGGCCGTGAGCACACACGTGCTGCAAATGGGGCGGGGCTAGTGCCTGCATGATACTAGCCCTGCCCCGTTCTTGCATGGTGCAGCGCCTTGTATCTGCACCCCACGGCACGTCTGTTTTTTGTGCCTGGCAGCATGGTGGCCCATTTTTGCGCCCCTGGTTTTTGCGTGCCAGAGGCGGTGCTCAGAGGCGCCTCCCTGCCCCCCCCCCATGAGGGCACCACAATGCTGATGCGGCCCTGGCACTTTGTGATAAATAAGTGGGTTTGGGAATGTGGTTTGGGCACTCGGTCTCTAAAAGGTTCGCCATCACTGGGTTAGGAGCTTGTAGGCCACAGGCAGAGACCCCTTAGATCAACTCCACGGCGGAGGACATTTCCCCTGGCCCCGCGGACGACGATTGCCTTCTGTTTCATTTACTGACCGCCGTGCTCTCTGAGCTTGGTGGTTTTCTTACAGAGATTTTGTTACCGAACTAGGGAACATCAGTGCATTGGTAATGAAACATCTGCAAGAAAACCACCAAGCTCAGAGAGCACCAAGGACCCCACAGTCTTCTTCCTCCTCTTCCTCGTTCTCCCCTTCTCTTCCATTCCGCAAACCCCAGTCTTTTCTAGCATTGATAATGTTACCTAGTCTGGTAATGAAACGTCTGCAACAAAACCACCAAGCTCAGAGAGCACCAAGAATCCCACAGTCGTCGTCCTCCTCCTCCTCCTCCTCCTCTTCCATTCCGCAGATCCCACCCTTTTCTAGCATTGATAATGTTACCTAGTCTGATAATGAAATGTCTGCAACAAAACCACCAAGTTCAGAGAGCACCAAGGACCCCACAGTCGTCGTCGTCGTCCTCCTCCTCCTCCTCCATTCCGCAAACCCCACTCTCTTCTAGCACTGATAATGTTACCTAGTCTGATAATGAAATGTCTGCAACAAAACCACCAAGCTCAGAGAGCACCAAGGACCCCAACAGTCGTCCTCGTCCTCCTCCTCCTCCTCCTCCATCATTCCGCAAACCCCACTCTCTTCTAGCACTGATAATGTTTCCTGGTTGGGTCATGAAAATTCTGCAGCAAAGCAACCAAGCTCAGAGAGCACCAAGGACCCCACGGTTGACTTCTTAGCTGTACCTGTTGAGATCTTCTCCCTCTCCCCTTCCAAAATGACCATCTCTGTTCCTTCTCCTCCTCCTCCTCCACCAGGGCTGCCTGACTCCCATCCGACCTGCCGATTCAGGAGAGAAACGCCTGCAAGGCCCCCCTGTGTCAGTTGCCAAAGGACAACCATTATTGCCCTCTTCCGTGCCAAAGCCTGCAACGGGCACCAGGTGAGTGGAGACGCTTCGGGCTTCCTATCGCATCTTTTCTCTCTCCCACCCACCCCCGGTCTGGTACCTCCAGCCCGTTCTCTGGGTGACCCTGATGGCCTCTGGCGTTCTCCATGTTCGGCTGAGTCCCTCTGGCCAGACTTTAGAACGGCTGCTGGAATTGGGTATGTCTAGTTTAATGAAGAGAAGGACGAGGGGGGACAGGATAGCAGTCTTCCAGTATCTCAGGGGCTGCCCCAAAGAAGAGGGAGTCAAGCTATTCTCCAAAGCCCCAGAAGGCAGGACAAGAAGCAACGGATGGAAACTAATCAAGGAGAGAAGCAACCTGGAACTAAGGAGAAACTTCCTGACAGTGAGAACAATTAACCAGTGGAACAACCTGCCTCCAGAAGCGGTGAATGCTCCAACACTGGCAGTTTTCAAGAAGAGACTGGACAGCCATTTGTCCGAAATGGTATAGGGTTTCCTGCCTGAGCAGGGGGTTGGACTAGATGACCTTCAAGGTCCCTTCCAACTTTATTATTATTATTATTATTATTATTATTATTATTATTATTATTGTTATTATTATTATTATTATTATTATTATTATTATTATTATTAAGCCCCCAAGGTTGAGGACCCCTGTTCTAGATAAGAGGATTAGCTGAAATTGATTTGGGGAATCTTTTTACCCGCCGTGGAGGGGGTGTGTGTGTCCCGAATCCTTCCTCCGTCCTCCTCCTGCTTCCTTCTTTCCTCTCAACCGCCTTTCTTCCTCTTCCTCCTCGCAGGAAGCCGCGCGGCGAAGCCAAGAAGTGCCGCAAAGTCTACGGGATGGAGAACCGCAACATGTGGTGCACGGCCTGTCGCTGGAAGAAAGCCTGCCAGCGGTTCGTGGATTGAGTTCGGCGAGTCTCCGCTCGCCTACGCCCTCCTCCGTCTTGTGTTGCGCGATTTGCACTTGGGTGCCTTCCAGCCTCCTTGCACTGTCTGCCCCCTCCCTCCACACCGCCCTGCCCACCCACCCACCCACCCACCCCTTCTCCAAGCTGGGGAGGGGGGGGGAACTTCCCCGCTGTGCCTTGGCTCAGGAAACCGGAGTTTCTGGAACGAACGGAGTCGTCGGACCCTTTGCGAAAGGAAGTCGAGACCGCCTGGCCGTGTCGAAGTGTCATCTGGGGCAGCCTGTTTCTTTATCCAGGGCTTACCTGCCAGTCCAGCCTCCGTTGGATTTACCCGCATCCACACATGTGAAAATTTAAGCCATTGTTTTGTCTTTTGATGGTGGTTTCCTCCCCCCCTCCCCTTTTTACTTCTGAAATAAGCTACTGTTTTTCTTATCTCCTGCTTCGGGTCTCCCAACTTTGTTGAGTTTTGAGACAGCGAGAGTTCCAAAAAGCTCTTTGGAGCCGAGATGCGAAGCTTTGGACGTGTTTCTCGTTCTCTGCGATGGGAGAGCCAAGACTCGTGGGCCACACACTTTTTTTTTTTTTTTTAATACCTGTCCTGCAGTATTTTTTTTGTTTTCCTTCGTAAGCTTTTTTTTTTTGGCGTTGAGGACTTTGGGGCAGAAGATAAAAACGGACGTCGGAAGGAAAGGAAATAGTTTTTGCTTCCTTCCTCTCTCGCTTCCTTTACTTTCGTTTGCTGGTTGCAAGTTGGTTTCTCCCAAAACTCCTTTTTTTCTTTTTCTTTTTTCTCTCTTTCCTCGATTTAAATTCAATTTGGAAGCCGGATAGCCCAGCCTACTAAAAGGTGGATAGGACTGAAAGGCGTGGTGGTGGAAACCTATTGAACGTCAGCAAAACCTGAAAAAGTTCTTTTTTGCTTTCTGTTTCCGATCTCGGGGAGTTTTCTAATATATATTTTTTTTAATTCCCTCCCCATTTCTCTCCAAAATTGTTTTCCTTTCCCAATGGTGCCTGCCGGAGAAGGCTCACTTATGAGAATTTTTTTTCCCCCCTCTGCCATCTGGCTTAACCGTCGCACGCACGGAAATTTTAGTCGTTTGCAAAGAATAAGCTATGTGCTGAAAATGTAGCCTGAACAGTGATCTGGACGCAATACGCTTCCAAGCCGACTCTTTTGACAGCCCAGAGAGAGAAAAAAAATGCCAATTTCCCTTGATGTGCAATCCCATTTTTATTTTTAAACATTTTACACAATGAGGTGACGGGAGTGTGATGTTTCTGTCCCACCGCCATAGCTTTTTCCTGATCTAAAGGGCAAAGATGGAAAGAAGATTGATAAGATTTTCCCAAACTCTGCTCTTCAAAAGAAAAAAAAGCCCAGCTCAAAAGTCAAATTTTAGAATCAGGATATTTTTTTTTCTTTTTTTAAAAAAAAATATATCAGTCTTGGAGAAAGTTGGGTCCATGTTGAACTTTGGAGGCGGGGTTCAGCTTTGTTTAAACCCATTTCTTTTGGCCCGTGGCACGTCGGAGTGTGGGTTGATGTCTCCTGTGTGTGTGTGTGTGTTGGTGGCAATTTGGGAATTTTCGGAGCGACGGGAGTTTCAGGATCCGGTTAACATAAGTTTGCTGGTTTGGCTTTTAAAAGTCACCAGATGGTGGCACTATGAGATTTATAGAAATCTGTGTAGCAAAATGTTTTTCAACTTGGGCCACTTTAAAGATGGGTGGACTTCAACTCCCAGAATTCCACAGCCAGCACAGCCAATTGAGAAACACTGCTCTAACCCAAAGTATTTGGCTTTAAAATGGGATATATCCAAGCCTCGTTCAATCCTTGCACAAATTGAATGCTACACAAGCCAGCCACCCTCATAGTTTTGAGGATAGGGGCTTGTAAGGGAGCGAGGCCTGGAATTTTGACAAGTCTTGCACACCTAAAAAACCCCGTCCCTTCTTCTAACTCCGATTCCCACTCGTTACCATCCCTGTTTAGCTAGCTTGTCTCTAAAAAACGAACACCCATGTCGCACGGCCTATTCTGCTCTCCCACCGAATTCCACCGTCTTGATTTCCGTGCGGCACCTGGAGATGTTTTTTTTTTTTTTTTAAAAAAAATTCTCCTCTGCAAACAGCCACAACCAAAGCGTTGTTTTGTGATTTTGGGGGATATCGTCGGGACATCCCCCATTCGGAAGAACCTGCAACCGAGACCAAACGGGCCCTGGAGGATCGTCCCGCTGCACACAATTCTCGAGCATTTGTGCGAGCGTCGGATTGCGTTGGGCAGCGTGCACCCTCTCCAGAAATGAGACTTGTGTGGTGGGGGGGGAAACAAACAAGACCTCCCCCGGTCTTTCTACTCTTTGCACTATTGCGAGCTGCACAGGGGTTTTTTTTAAAGCTTCTTTCCTGCCTCCCAATTTTCTATTCTGTCCCACTAAATCCAATATTAGCCAGATTGGTATTTTTAACCACCATCCTTTCAGAGATTGGTTTGTGCGTGTGTTGGGTGTGAGTGGGGGGGGGAGAGGGGAGAGAGAAAGAAAGAGTACCTTTTGTGTTTCCAACACACTACTCTGGTGTCTCTTCAAGTCCTGCAGAGAAAGCATTAAACATTTTTAGAACTTCCCTTTTTAAAGGTCTTGAGTTGTTTTCTTTTTTCTTTTTTTCTTTTTGAGGAGTCCTTGGTGCTGTCTTAGCTGGGTTGTTTTCTTGCAGACGTTTCATCACCCAAACCAGGAACATCATCAGTGCTGTGAGGGACCAGTATGGCCAGAGCATATGGCTAGCTTAGGAATTAAGAACTGTGTTAGAGCATTTCAGGATTCCTATACAATAAACTTTGAAGTCCCTCCCACTGACTAGGTAAGATATAGGACTGACTAACAGCTAGACTACGTTTCCCAGAGGCCATCTCTTAAGGCAGGGGTGTCAAAACTCAAATTTCATTGAGGGCCGCATCAGCAATGTGGTTGCCCTTGGGGCCGGGTGGGTGTGGATGGAGTGGGTGTGGCCTACTGGGTGGGCATGGCCAGCTCTACATCGTCCATGTCAAGGGTGCCTGTGGGGGCCTGGGCAGGAGTGGGAGAGATCTGAGGGTCTCTGGCAGAAGGGGGTGGGACTGGGGCAAGTGCCAAGGCATGGTCCACAGGAGGAGCCTCACTGTTCCTCTCAGGCCATGCGGGGGGGGGGGCTTATGGAGCTAAGACTGAATGCATTTCAGCATAGATGGCCACCACAAAATTGTACATTGGCTCCCGGCGGGCCTGGTCCAGGGCCAAGGCAGCGGGGGCCGTTCCCTTACTGTTTCCAGGATGGCTTCGCGGGCCACATGAAACCACTTCGCGGGCCGCATCCGGCCCCGGGCCTTGTGTTTGATATGTCTGTCTTAAGGAGACAGCGTTTAACCCTTTAAATGCTAAATGCTCTAACACAGTTCTTAATTCCTAAGCTAGCTATTTGCTCTGGCCAGAGTTACATACGGGTCCAGCACAAGTGCTAACGCTACACGATGTTACCTCCAATATCTCAGGGGCTGCCCCAAAGAAGAGGGAGTCAAGCTATTCTCCAAAGCCCCAGAAGGCAGGACAAGAAGCAACGGGTGGAAACTGATCAAGGAGAGAAGCAACCTAGAACTAAGGAGAAACTTCCTGACAGTTAGAACAATTAACCAGTGGAACCACCTGCCTCCAGAAGCGGTGAATGCTCCAACACTGGAAGTGTTTAAGAAGAGACTGGAGAGCCATTGGTCTGAAATGGTATAGGGCTTCCTGCCTGAACAGGGGGGTTGGATTAGACGACCTCCAAGGTCCCTTCCAACTTTATTGCTATTATTATTATTATTGTTCGGTTAAGGAAACGTCTGCAAGAAAACAACCAAGCTCAGAGAGCACCAAGGCACCCCCTCGCTTCCACCCTGAGAAAGAAATATTCTGCTTTATTGGTATTATTTTCCCCCACTGGGTATCCTGTGGAGAAGCCGGGATGTTCCCCACCCATCTGGACACACAACAAAGTTGTGAGTGGCTGTGCCAAGCAAATTGGTGCTTCCCTTCTCTTACCCCCCCCCCCCATTTTTAAAGCTTTGCTCTGCAGTGTGGTGGCTGCATCAGAGTGGGCAAAGTCCTTCATCCGTGATTGTTAATTTTGGAGATAAATCAGTTCTGTATGCCTGCATCCAAACGGGCTCCCCCCTCCCCCCCCCAGGGCTTAGCCATCATCCTATTGCAAATCTATTCGCGTTGTGTCCTGTCAAATGCAGGGGAACATACTTCTGGCCTCGCCCTGCACTTCAAGGATGTGTAACGAATGAACGAACGTTTTCGTTTCTTGTTAATTCAGGAAGCTTTCTATGTACACTTAATTCCCAGATGTGCGCACACACGTAACTTTTGGATTGGTAAAAAAAAAAGAAAAAAAAATACAGATTATTATTTTTAACTGTACGAGTCTTGTCGGCTTTACCATTTGATCGTCGGCCCGGCTGGGCTTCAAACTGGGGAACCAGCCTCACTCCAGGTAAGTCCTCAACTTGCAGCAGTTCGTTTAGTGACCCGTTTCAAAGTTAACGACGGCACTGAAAAAAAGGGACTCGGGAACCGTTTTTCACCCGACTTGTAGCCTCCTCCCCCTACGGTCCCGTGATAAAAAATTCAGAGGCTTGGCCAGCGGTTCGTGCTTATGACGGTCGCGGCGTCCCGGGGTCACGTGATCCCCTTTTGCGGCCTTCTGACAAGCTAAGTCAATGGGGAATCCAGATTCACTTAACAACCATGTTACTAGCTCAATAAATGCAATGATCCGCTTAACAGATGTGGCAAGAAAATTTGTAAAAGGGGGCAAAACTCACTTAACAAATGTTTCACTTAGCGACATAAATTTTTGGGCTCAGTTCTGGTCGTAAGCCGAGGACAACCTGTACTGCTAGAGGCCTTCTAATCAAGCTAATTCCAAAAGAGAAGCCAGATTCATTTAACGGCTGCGTTACTA